TTTTTTCTAATTCTAAGGTAGAAATGTCTATCACCATCAGTAAAGTGAATGAGGATTATATTTTAGTTCAGCTGAGGCATATTTAACATGCTGTTAGGATAGGAAGAAATGGAAAAATTTTTCTATTTTTTCCCTTCTCCTCATCAAAGGCTTATAAAAACATAGGATTACTACTCTTTATAAAGGGTTTAAACCTTCTATACTAATAATTAGAACATTAGACAAAACTTGTGTTTCAATTCTGGTTACACCATTATCAGCATGTGACCTTGGTTGGGTCACAATGATTTAGAGCCTCAATGTATTAGTCTCAATGTTGCTTACAATAGAAAACCCAAAACTGGGAAATTTACAAATAAATGAAATTTATTTCTCACAGTTTGAGAGGCTGGGAAGTCCATGGTCCAGGTGGTGTATCTGGCGAGGACCTTGCTGGTGGGTGGTGACATGGCGAGAATGGGCTGAGCAAGAGAGCTAACCAGCTGATTTGCTCTTCTGTTAAGGCCATCAGAACCACATCCATTACTCCATGAATGGATCAATCCATTCATGAGGGCACAGTCCTCGCAATCTAATCACCTCTTAAAGGTCCCACCTTTCAAATACCATAATTAGATTTCCCACCCTCTTGACACTGTTACAGTGGGGGTAAGGTTTCCAATACACGAACTTTTGGGGGTCACACTTAACCCATAGCACTCAAAGAGATACAGATATTGATATTGACCCTTTTCTTACAGCATTGTATAGAGGAGCAGAGGTAAGGTATAATAAAGTACCTGGCACAATGCTTAGAGCAGAGTAGTTACACAAAATGTAGCTATATGATGATGATACTAATTTTGAAATTGTCTCAATTTTTATTTCATTCTTATTTCCTTAAGCATTTCACAGAGTTACCATTTATATTGGTTATTTAGAAAACATAATTTTCTTTTTAGAATGATCTATTCATTACTTAAAATATCTTTAAACCAGAGATGGACTTTTAGCTACATTAAGTAGGTTAGATGACCATAACAATACATGGCAACCTAACTCTTATAGTTAATATGAGGGGTCTTCAAACAACTAATGTAAAGATTTGTTTTATCTTTTGATTCCCTTTTCCATGAACCTATGGAAATACCCTCATATTTAATTTTCCCCTGGCAGAACAAGTTGCCCCAATTCCACATGTTGGTATTCTGGTCATCCATAAACGTTCATTTCCACTTACAACCATCTATGTACTCCATCTGTATTATTTAATCATCCTTTACCATATAATTCTGGCTGACATGCTGTAGTGTGAAGAAAAGAGCAAAGGATAAAAACCATGTTTGAATTTTGGCTCTGTTGTGATCTTGGATTTCTCTAAGCTTCAGTTTCCTTATCTATGAAATGGTGATCTGAATCTCTCTCCTGAGTTTCTGTCTGTCCGTCTCAGCAGTAGCTGTGAGGATGGAAGAGCTCTGTAAGCCATTAATACTATTAATGTATTATTAGTAACAACTCCAATCTGCCAATTCATAAACAACATTACAAACACTACATAGACTCTAAATTAAGTAAATCTGCAAAATCTGCTGGTAGAAATGTTAAGGTGAGTAGTTTTGATGCATAGAACCCCCCTCGAACTAGCTTAAGAATAAAGGGAAACGCACTGGATCATCTACCTGGGAAGGCAGAGGCACACAGGTGTCACTTGTTTCACGCATGATTATATCAAAGAAAGTCTCTACCTCTCTCTTGCCTCCGTTTTTCTCAATGCATTGGTTTTGTTTTCTCACCACACAGACTTTCTTTATATAGTGAATAAGATGGCTGCTGACATCTCCCGATTTGAATTCTTCAAACTCTGTGGAACCCAAAAGGCAAGGAGCATTTTCCTCCACTTCCATCTTAAAAAACAAACAAACAAACAAACAAACAAACAAACAAACAAACAAAACTCATGGAATTAATCTCAACCCAAAGCCTAAAGTCAAGGGAATGGGGTTCTTTGGGTCAAACAGGCAGAGTTTGGGGATTGTTGATCCCACTAGAATTACAACATTTGAGTGAAGAAAGAGCAGATGGAACAGTCTCCAAATGAAGCAAAAGGCCTGGACAGATAAAAATGACAGCTGTCACTGAAAGCACAAGGCAGAAAGAGAGAATGATGACAAAGAGAAGAGATTTCCTTGTGAAAATGTTGTTCTTATGAAATGCACAATGTCTCTTCATTAAATCCATCACTCTGCTGTTTAAGATGAGTGTGACCATCATTTCAGTTTTCCCAGGACAGTCCTGTTTTACAACTGTTGTCCAGCCTCATTATTAAAATCATGTCTTTCATTCTTGGAAGTGTTCCAGTTTGGACAATTATCTACATGAGTTAAGTCACTGTAGGTAAGACCAGGCAGCAGTTTCGCTGCAGGCACCCAACCGGTCCAAACTTTTTCTGTTTCTTTGACTCAGTTGAATGTTCATCACTTCTCTGCCTTTCCTCCCCACCCCAGTGCTTGATATTCAACATTTGGAGCTCTTCTTATGACACAAACATTCTTAATCCCACCTGCTTCTCTTTTATTGGTCGCCTCACATTTTCCCCCTTCAGGAACTCTTCTGGATTTTAAGTAGCAGTGAAGAAGGCTTAACAAATTGCCCATCTGCTCAGAGCATCTCTGGTAGTAGAATTTTCTTCCTAGGAATTGCCGCAAGTTAACAGTACACTGACTATCCAAATAGTGTAGTTTCATCCTGAGAAACTTCAGTTGTTTTTTCTTCAAAACGGAAACTCCCAGAGGTCAGCCAGGTATGGCTTTATATTTCCTGTTCTATCGTACAAAGTATGGTAAATAGCGTAAGGGTGAGGACAGATAAAGCAATTAACATAGAGTGGTAACGGTAGAAGAAAAAACTTCTTAGTGATTTATTTGCAATGGTTCCCTTCACATACCAGCTAAGAAGAAAGCATCCTTTGCCAGCTTGACCAGCTACCTCCTGGCTGTGGTTGTGCTGATCAGGTGGAGGTGGTGGAGAGAATGGATGAAACAAAGCAATCCCAGTGTCTAAGAAAGGGAGAGATAGGGAAGGTGAATAAGGAGCCAAGGAAACTTGATGTGCAGAAATGAGTGGAGGCTGTAGTGAGGCACTGTACAACTCCAGCGGCCCTCCCACACACCATATTCCATGTGGATGGTGTTCCCACCTCTTCATAGTCTACAGCATGCAACGTGGGCAGAGCTCCCTGCAGGTGTGCAGCTTGTCAGCCCCAAGTGGGGTGGGGAGAGGAGATGTCTGGGGTTCACAGGTGGGGATTTGATTTTTAAAAAAGGCACAACTATGAATGCAGAGAAATACTTTGGGGAGACAATGGGTAAAAGATGCTTTTTGCAAAGTCTTTCATTTTTTCAACAAATATGAGGGTACTTCAAAAAGTTCATGGAAAAATAGAATTGAAAGATGATATGAATCTTTCCACAAACTTTTTGAAGTAACTTCGTACTATATATTTTGTACTCTGTTCTGTTCATTGTTATAAACTCTGAGTATATAGCAGGGATGTATACAGCATCTTTATGTATATAGACAGAGCACTCTACCCCAGAAGAGCTTACCTTTCAGTGAATGCAGACAAGGAACAAACATAATAAAAATAAATTATATAACATTTTATCTTTTTTTTTTTTTTGCTGGCCAGTACAGGGATCAAACCTCGGACCATGGTGTTATCAGCACCACAGTGTAACCAACTGAACTAACCGGCCAATTGTATAGCATTTTAGATGATGACAAATGTTATGGGAAAAAAATAGAGCAGCTGTAGAGAGCTGGAGTTGGGGAAAGGTGGTTGCAAATTTAAAAATGAGCCATCAGGGTAGGTTTCAAAGAGAAGGTGACATTCGATCAAAAACTTGAAAAAGATAGAGGTAGAGCCAGGCAAACATCTGGTAGAAAATCTTCCAAGCAGAGGGAACAGCCTTTGCAGAGTCCCTAAAGTGGACTGGTGTGTTCAGAAACGGCAAGGACAATGCAGCTGAAGATAGTGGTAGACGATGTAGGGCTTTGAGGTCTTTTAACTTTTAGAGAAACAGGAGTTAGAGGCTTCCGGGCAGAGGCTTTTAATCGCATCACTGCCTAATGCATCTTGATGGATAATATGTAATATAATTCCTTCAAGAGATCTTCTCTACTTGTGTTTCTTTTGGATGTGATACAGTGCTAATATTTTGTACACTGTGTACTCATTCTGGTTACAATAGGTTCTGCTTATAGTACAGAACTCTCCACAGAGAGGCACTTGTTGAATGAATGAGTGAACAAATGAATGAACAAACGAGCTTGGCCTTTTAGCTCCCTTCATGCAGGTCCTCAATCTATTATTTTAATTTCATTCCTTCCCACACCTTTTTCAACTTGGGTCCTATCCAGCCTGCCTGCTCTCTCAACGTATATTTCTGCCTCTGTCTTTGCTCACCCCATTTCCCACTACTTGAAATGCTCTCCCCAAGCCTTCTCCATTGGATTCAAATTCTACCTATTGTTGAAGACCCAGGATAAGCTCCACTTTCTCCAGGAATTCCCTGCAGACCCTCTGGACTTAATCCCCTTCTGTGAATTCTTTCAGCATCCCTCCTCTGATACCTTTCATTGACTCGATCTGTTGGCCTGGATAACTTTTTGGTGTTTATTTACAAACCATTGTTTGAACTCTAGGTAGTGGGCAAAGAATACATCTGGAAGGTACTTTACCGTTTCTCTTTTATAGGAGCTGATTGGATAAGAAAGGGTCAGAGATTTGGCTGACCTTACGCAAGTTAATTAATAAGGAATGCAACGGGACGGGACCAGGACCCAAGTCGTACTCCAGACAGGCAATAGTCAGTGTCCTTCCTACTCATGAAGCGTTAACCAGCATTTCCTTTTCGCAGTCGGTTCACACACGTCTCCTTTCCCAGCGAATCAAAAGCGGCCGCGACCAGGGAAGCTTGTCCAGTGCGGGATGCCGTAGTGGCGCTGCCTCACGGCTCAGTCCCGGGCGAAGATGGCGGCCCCCGAGACAGGCCTGGCTTTAAGTCCAGGCACTGCGGAGGGCGAGGAGGAGACAATTCTCTATGACTTGTTGGTCAACATCGAGTGGCCACCGGAGACAGAAGTACAGGTGATCCAGGGCACTGTACGGCTGCAGGCAGATTTGCGCGGCGTTTCGCGGGCAGAGCCACGTAGCAGGAGCCACGTAGCGGAGTGGAGGCCGGTGGGCGGGGGTGCGGGCCTCGGCAGCTTGTGCGGTCGCCCTGGCAACGGCACCTTGGGCTAGCGGGGGCCTGGGCTCCTACCAAAGGTCGGGGTGGGGTGGGGAATGTCCCTGAGATTCCTCTTAGGCTCAGAATTCGGTTGTCGGGGGCCGGGACTTCGTGCTCTGGGCCAGGTAGCTTCTCTCTCTGTCAGTCTCACTCCTCGGACTTGGAGGGGAGGGCACAGCGCTGGGCTGCAGGGTCCTTCCCGCGGTCTGGCGAAGGCTGGGCTGGGCTGGCACTCATCTGGGGTGGGAGCATTTCCCGAGACCCTATAGTCTTCTCTGCATCTGTCAGGTTGCCGTGGAGCGCGCGATCTAACCCCTTACCTCTCCTTGGGACTGAATTAGGCCAATTCGTATGTGTTTCAATGAACAGGCATTTAATAATTTTTTTTGTGTTTGTATGTCTTCATGTCCCAAATATGTGTGTGTCTGTGTCTCTTCATGTCCCAAATATGTGTGTGTGTGTGTCTCTTCAAGCATTTAATAAGTGTGTGTGTGTGTGTGTGTGTGTGTGTGTCTTCATGTCCCAAATATTGTTCTAGGTTCTGGGGATTCAGAGACGAATAAGCTTTCATTGAGCTTCCAGTTTAGAGGGGAGACAATCTTGTAAATGTTTCTCATAACCTAGAGTAATATGTGCTATTGCAGCGCTGTGAGCAAAATGCCATGGGAATGAAGAGTAAGGAAGGGTAAGGAGCTACTGACCGGGATTGAGATTTCTCCTAGGGAAGGGGTTATAGGGGTTGATAATTTATGAAATGGTCCCTGGTGTTATCAGTTGTTTCCTAGAGAAGGCCTCCCAAGGTATAGGGATAATGAAAGGAACCAAAGATCCGCGTTTATTCAATAGATATTTACTGAGTGCCTAATGTGCCACTCACTGTTTCAGATTCAGAGGAAGAAGCAAGATCGAAGATGACATTTTTTAAAGATTATGGAGTCCAGCCCACATGCATTCTCTTTTGCAACATCTTTTCTGAGTGTTTCTTTACTGGAGAAACTTATTCTCCAGATCACTTTCCTAAAAAGTTTGTACTTTTTCCTTTATAATCTTCCAACTGCAATTTTTGCATGTCTTGAATACTGTATTTTGTAGGCGGGCAGAGATCTGTATACATTATTGTTTTTCAAGTATTTACTTAATTTCTGTTTGTCTTAAACAGTGAATATTTTGTGAGTTATGCAGCTAGGAAGCTGTTGCTGCTGCCTTTGGTTGGATAAGTTTCCACTCCTGAACACTCACTGGTCAATTGCAATAATGTTTCACAGTGCTTAACATTATAAATTTTTTTTCAAAAAAATAAGCACAGCGTAGCATACCTCATAGCATTTTACCTTTTTCGAGGGGTTCTGTTGACTTCTACATTCTGTTGATTTCAGAAGTGATTATAAACTTATGGAGGGTAGCTACATCTGATTCATTTTTATGTTCGCCCCAGTGCCAAATTGCTTCTCGCATGAATTGGACAACCGATTCATGTTTGTTGAGTGAAATAACTTTTCTGTGCTTTTTAAGCGGTATCTGCACTTTCTACATTTCTATTGTACTTTCCTTTACAGCACTTTAGTGCATCTTACTCATTACACGTAGTGCCTAGTGTTTTTTAACCTACACACAGTAAGTGTAGAGCCTATACTCACAGAAGAGAATTATTTAATATAGCAATTACATATCGGTGTGTCTTTTGTTAGTAGCATCGTTCATATAGATATACAACAGATAGCCAAAACATTTTTAGGTCTCTCCAGTTGCCTGAATAGATTGTGCTGAACTGGCAACCAGTATGGTCTTTGCTCTTGACTTCTCTTGTCTTTGGATTAGTATTTTGATATGGAAGCAGTTTCCAGGCTCAATCCTTGTCCTACCCTGCAAGGTTTATCCTGACATGTGCCTATAACTCTGCCATGTGCATGTTTATTCCCACTGTCCCCAGCCCCGATTCTACTTTTTTTTTGTTTCAATCTATAAGTAGTTTTTAAATACTGGTACTTTGTACCTCATACTGTGAGTATTAGTAAATAAGTATAACTTTACCCGTTGTATAAGTATTAGTAGAAAATTCTGAAATTTAAGGTTTTTGTTTTAAATTGTAGCCTAGAGGCAACCGAAAACATGGTGCATCCTTTATCGTCACAAAAGCAATTAAAGGTAAATGTAGCTTATTTATTTTTCTACATATAATGATATAGTTAACAGATATTGTTTTCCATTTCATCAGTAACAGATATTTTAGAAAGTTTAGGGCTTTTAAAATGTGTTCGTTAGACTTCTGATGTGTGCCTGATGAAAGTGAGTAGCATACATGTTACCTGAGTTTCATTTTATAGTGTATATATTTATGTATACACACATGTATGTATGTATATGTATATTCACACATTTTTAATGCAGCTTAGAGATAAAAGTGTAGCCTGGGTTTATCCATTATGAATGGTATACAAGGAGTTAGGAACATCAAACCGAGTATGAGTCTCAGAGAATCTATGGATATTGAAGGTGAAAAGAGAGACCACTTTAAGTGGTTTACATTGTTTAGATATATCTGGTTAGAGATATTAAAATTACAAATTTGATTGACCAGAGCATTCACTTAACTCCCGACAGACTTTACATATGAGCTAGCGAGTGTCTGAGAAAGGATTGAGCACTAGTTTAATTGAGCTGGTGCTATGAGAGCTTTACTAAATTAATCAATCAAATGATTTTACCAGACCAGCATAGTAGGTGCTATTACTTTATGTCGTTAGATGGGGAAACTTGCCCCAGGTCATTCATTTGGAATTTGACTGCATGTCTTTCTGGCTCCAAAATCTATCCTTATTATACTGGTGAATTTGAGTTCCTTATAAAGAGAAGATTCAGTTTCAAAGGTGCTAAATACTCAAAATTAACACATTCAGTTTTTATTATCACAAATACCTGAAATTTTGAAAATTTAGAAAATGTACATAGTAATACAAATTCATTATAGAAAATTTAGACAACCACAAATTGGAATAAGTAATTTTTTTCTCATTTTACCACCCAGAAATAATCTGTTATCCTTTAGATGTTTTTCCGTTGATATACATCTAACTGCATACACAGGTACACACATGAACATTTTGAGTAGGATCATATAAAGCATTTTTTAATAATGTGTTAGAGATTTAGTTTTCTGTGGACTTCCCTTTTAGGTATTTTTATTATTTTTTAAATCTTTGATGCAAAGTATAAAATGGTATCTTGTTTTAATTTTTGTACAAATACTTTGGTTTTAAAGGGTAATTACTGTGATTCCTAGTGCATAGTTTCATTAAAGCTTCTTAGATTAATTTAGCATTTCAAACCACTTTTACATATTGTACAGTTAGGGAATACTTCAGTGTTTTGAGTAACACTCAAACTTGTAATTCAACGTAAACAAATGACCTTGTAAAAGTTATTGTATATATTAGGTTATGTTTATACTCTCATTTTGAAAGTTGTGTTCTCCATGTTTCATTTTATTCTGTTTTGTTTGACTCAGTCTGCAGTATAGTTTAGATTTCTTGTCTATAAATCTTACTTGAAAATGTTTCTTAAAGGACAACTGATTTATCTTTGACTTGCTGTTTCTTTTCATTATAGATCGTTTCTTATTTTTACGCCAATACCTTTGGTACAGGTGAGTCTTCAGAGAAACAGTATGAACATCAAATACAAACAATACTATTTTATTTGTGATTTAAGTTTTCATAATTGGGTCCCAGATCATGATATAGATGCTGAAGTTCAGGTGAAACTAGTTTATAAAGTAGACCTGTCAGACATTTTGGCATAACGTGAGAAGATATCTCGGTAGACTTAGGATAATTTCTGTTCCTTTAGTCATTATTAATAATATCTCATGATGACTTTTGCTTCCCCTTATGAGCATTCTCAGCCTTATCTTGAATGCCCACATTCTGTAGCTTGCATATCTTTTAAAAAGCATTTTTGCCTTGTTGTTACCTCAACTTTCTAGTGGTCGATGTTCAATTTCTGTGCATCAGAGAAGGTTCTTTAGGTTTCAGCTATTGTGTACTTTTTTATTCTTTGAGTGTTAAGTATGTCCTTAGGCATGGTGCGAATTTTCAGCTTCAGAAAGAACAGAGAAATAATTATTCTGACAAAGAATATGGTTCTGCTTTTAAATACATGTATAGGAATTGTTTTATAGAACTATTTACTACAGATTGCTTTTTCCATGAGGACATCTAATCTTAAAAGCTCCAGAGATAACATAGTTCTATAAAAGAGACCTTGGCTTTTCTCCAAGACTTGTTCCAATGTTTTTCTGCTTTCAGTCTGTGTGTGTGTGCATATGTACATACACATATAGACGGCCCCTGACTTGTGGTGGTTTGAGTGAGTTTTTAACCTTACCGTGGGTTTATCCGAGGATTCAGTGCATTCTCAACTTATGATATTTTTGACATTTGATGGGTTTATTGGGACATAACCTCATCCTGAGTCAAGGAGCATCCGTATATATCCTTAAATTTCTTAGTTTTTTCTGTATTTTGGGGGTCTCGGGTGTTATAGGGTAGAGAGAGGAGTGAGGAGAGAGGGTGGGTGAAGGGAAGGGAGGTATAAGAGGTAGGCTGCTTTCCTGAGTTCACTAGGCCACAGCTTGCTAGTCCTGATCACCCTCGGCGAGGATGGGCAGAAAATATGTCTGTTCAGGTTGCTGCTTGACAGTCCTTTTTGTTATCTATTGGCGAGCAGGACTCAAAAAGAATGAACTCTCATACAAGTCTCGTCCTATGTGTGAGCACCTTAACGTCAAGCACTGGTAGTGTCTTTCTGTCCCTCTTTCTCCTGAGAAGTCTTTTTCTTGGAGTTGGCCATATTGATCATTGTACATGTTGTGAATGCATCACATGCGAGGTGATTATTTTTAATCTTCCTGATGATATGTTACTTTCAAAAACGTCACAGTTCAATTTGTGCTTTTGAATTTATGGTAATTAAACCTAAAGGTTTTGTGGCCAATATTTGTTTCATCTATCTTTTCTTTTTTAAAAACAGCTTTGTTCTCTTAATTATGAAATATTATAAACATACTGAGAATTATAGACAAATATAATAAACCTGTATATAACATATATCTACATCTGAATTGAAGCTGTTGCTATTTTGCCATATTTACTTCAGAAAGCTCTTTCTCTTTTTTTATGCAAAATGTTGCATCTCAAGTCGTCTCCCCCATCTTTTTCCTCTCCCCTTCCCTTCCAGAGGAAATTATAATCCTCATGTAGATGGTATTCACATGCATGTTTCATATCTTTATTATAATATTTCTGTAACTATCTCAATATTAATATTTTATATTTTAAAAAATGAGCATAGTCGTGCTGTTAACACCAACATCCAGGATTTGATCCCTGTACTGGCCAGCTGCCAGAAAAAAGCATAAATATACCAAATGTATACTACTCATATTTTTCATCCTATTTTGTATTTTCTGATTTCCAGAATGTTCTTTTTTTCTTTTTCCTGCTTTTCTTTCATAGAATGTTTTCTTTATTCTTTTCCACCTATTTTCTTGCGTTCTTCAGGTCTTACTCCTCTAACTTGTTGTGTTTACTCTCTCACTCATGTGGGTAGTTTCCTTATGTCTTTTGTGATTCGTTTTATTGTGAACTTATGCTTGGGGATTTTTGCATCACATGAGTGAAATTGCAGTCCGTTCTTGTATATAGTGCAGGCTTGGGTTTTTGATTTTTCATAGGAGATTTTATTCCCATCCCCCACAGACCAGTGGTCCAGGCAGAGGTGAGAGTCCTTACAGTGTCCCTGTGCCCACAGGGAGATGTTTCTTGTTCTTTCATTGATGGTGCAGTCATTTGAACATCCTGTTTTTTGCAGAATTCTCACTTCCAACTTCTGTCCTCTCTGTAGTCCAACAGCTCGTTTCCTATCCTGGGTTTAAGTCCTGTTTTGGGTTCTTGTCTCACTTTTTCCTGTACTCAATTATAGCTTTCAATTACCTTTTCATTTCTAGTACTTGTAAATTTCTCTTTCTTTCTTGTGAGTTTGATTCTTTTCTAGAATTTGTGTTGGTTATATTTGACCCACAATTTGTAGGTGGTCATAGCGGGGGCGGGGAGGGGGCTGTAAGCTCACTCTACTCTGTTACTGGTATCCCATATATCTTTTTCCTGGAAAGGACATAAAGTTTATAACTTTAAATATAACACCATGTTTTCCTGGAAATAGAGAAATGTATATGGTAAAATTTCAGATATCAAAGTAGTAACTTTTGGTTTTGGATTTACTAATATTCAGATTTTGTTTTCTAATGGAAAAAAATCCTTGTCTCTCTCTGTATGTGCTATTTATAATACTTACTTATTTATATGTGGTTTTCATGATTAGATTTTAAGCTAGCTTAATGTGTTGTGGTTTCAGCTCTGCACCATTTTTGCTCCCTGATGGACTTGTCCGCTTGGTTAATAAACAGATAAACTGGCACTTGGCACTTGCAAGGTAAGGATATGTAAAATTCAAATAATGTTTTTCTATCTGGATTAGCTTTTTTTTTTTGTCTTACATTCTTTTATTTATCATAATATATATATTATAAATATATAAGTATATAGTGTATTTATACAAATATATATAAAAATATATATGCATATCTGTTTTATGTACAATAACTTTCTATCAAATAATCAGACCAAGGCCTTCTACTGGTAATCTTCCCCAAAATCAGTTCTGGTAAAATTAGATATTTATGCACTTCACAAGCTGTCAATACTTGAGACTTCATTATTAATTTAAGTTCTGAAGCCATATACACAATCAAAATATACATTAACTAGGTTAAGGCAATAAAAGTGAGCTGAAAGAAACCACAGGATTCAGAACAATTAAACTTTGTATTTTGCTTGCACTAAAGTCACAATGTGAACAGCAAATACTGTGCTCTTCAAATACTTGTAGCTTTTCTATGCAGTGCGAGGGGCTTCTGAATATCTAAGGTGACTGCATGACAGGTGGGCAAACAGATGATGTGACTGGAGGCTTCACCAAAGGCTCACTTCTTCTCCACCTCTCCTTTCTTGGGTTCTTGTTTCAGTTTGTAATCATCCAGGGTGGCCTTGATTACATCTTTAGCCAGCATGGAGCAGTGCAGTTTCACAGGAGGGAGGCAGAGCTCTTCGGCAATATCTGTGTTTTTGACGGTCAAGGCTTCCTCCACCATCTTCCCTTTCACCCATTCCATGGCTAATGAGCTGGAGGCAATTGCAGAGCCACAGCCAAATGTTTTAAACCTGGCATCCACAATCTTCCCCTTTTCATCCCTTTTCATCTCCTTGAATCCGTAACTTCATTACATCACCACATGCTGAAGCTCCCACCAGTCCAGTTCTGACATTTGTAGATGTCTTGTCAAGGGACCCCACGTTCTTAGGATTTTCATAATGATCGACAACCTTCTTGTGATAGAGCTGGGCCAGAGCTGAGAGCTCCCTGATGGGCAGGCACAGGCTTCGGAGCAGCAGGGCTGAAGCTGCCCACCTCAGATGGCCACTCCAGCTGCTGCCATCTTGCCAGCTTGCCCCTGCCTGTATGATTTAACTTTTGAACTTCATTATGGACCTTAATTTTAGAGTCCTTATGGCTTTCAGTCTTGATTTTTATTGTATGTGAATTCTCTTTGTCACATATGATTAATATTATTAAAAAGTGTTAATTTATGCTGTATTGAATCATTTTATATGCTTTTATACCTGTATACTTACCTAATTGTAAGGTGGAAGATGGATAATTAAAGCAATTGAAAAAATTTAAAAATGATTTTAACTTCTTAAAATAATTTCATCCGTGTTAAAGAATGCCACAAATATTCATAGATTTTTTTTCTCTTTTTCCTACATGAAAGCAATGGGAAGCTTTTGGCTGCTGTCCAAGATCAGTGTGTGGAGATCAGGTAATTGTTAATATTATTGATACTTAAGTTTTTTTTGAGAAAAATTTTACTTAAGAAATGGGAACTAAGATTTTTAAAGGGGATGTCTTTAAAAGGATTTTATCATTAACTCATTTAATTTAGTGAGGTGTCAAATACCAACTTATGTCGGTTAAAGACTGATTACCTCAGTTGGTTAGAGTGCAGTATTATAACACCAGGGTCAAGGGTTTGGATCCCTGTACCGGTCAGGTGCCAAAACAAAAAAGAATGAAGGATGCTTTCTCAGAGTAGTTTGATCATCTTTCTACTTCCCCACATCACTCTGCTATCTCCTGAGAAATTCTACGTTCTCAATAAGCAAGGTCTATCTTTCAGAACTCTGGAAATCACTCTTGTTTGAGTAGTTGCTGCTAAATCAGCTAAACAGATATTCAGGAAGGTGTAAAAAAAAAAGTATGGGCTGCTTTGCTCTGTTGGCACAAAGCTACAGATCAAATATGGCTGTGGAAAAGACCAAGGTTACATGTTATATGAGACCAGCGTTATTACCTGTCCTCGTGAAACATTTATTGGTAATACATACACATCTGAAATACTTCTCTAAATGGGGCTTTCTAGGTATTTTATTTTTAAATGATACATCGGTTGTGAAAGAAATAACAATACCAATTAACTCAGAAAAACTAGTTCATTTTTTGGGAAATTTATAGCAGCAGACTAAATGTGTGGCACCTCTTAAATTGAGGATTATTCCTTTTTCCAGGCAATCCCTAACATGGTTTTCAAAAAATAAGCAAAGAGGCAGAAATTTCAGGATGCCTAGATACCAGTCAGAAGGTTTTTCTGCTGCTTTATTATTATTATTCTTGACTAAAGATAGTATTAAAGGCCATTCAGTTGTTGTCATGTTGGTATTAGATTTCTGTCTGTGGTATTTCTTTCTTTTTCCATTTATCCAAGTAGAACTGGACCTCTCAACTTTTTGGGGAGTAGACAAGGTTTGCCCTCATCTGAGCATTGGCTTCAGATGGGGAGGCTTTCTTGTCCCTCTTAAAACCATCAGGATAAAAATTATAGGCAGCAATGGCAGCCCTTCAAAACTAAATTATTGCACTTAATTTGATGTGACTTTAATATGTAGATCCCTCTGTTTTTTAGCTGCATTATTAAGTATAAAGTTGGCACATGTTTGAATTTACATTGTTCATAGGAATGGGCTAGCACTTCCTATTTCATTTGTTGAGTAATGTGAAATGTACCTTTTTGAGAAATGTGCTCATGGTGTGACTTATAAAGAGCAGTTAACAGACACCATTTATTTCTATCTTTTTCTCATGAAAGGAAAACATGATCAAAAATAATTTTAGGGTCAGAGTGTTCATGTGGAATCAGGATAGATAATTAGATCTGGAGAAGGAGAGCTTGACCAAGGGTTTCATGTAGCTTGCTACTAAAAACTTTGGTGAAAAGGATACAAAAATAACTTGCAGAAGCTTTGTAACGTTAGTATATCTAAAGACTTATATGGTGAAGAGTCAGTTCCACTAGGATACCTTTGGGAACACACCTCGTATTGGCCCCCCAACCCCTGCTCTGTCCCAAATTGGTTAGGTACCAATCCTTTATGCTCTTGTAACAATCAACACATTTCTCTATTATTATATTTAATGATAAGAAGATAATGCTAACAGTTATGGGCACTGTTGTAAGTGCTCTGTGTGTGGTAACTCATTCAATCTGGCAGAAGCCCTATGAGGTAGTAGGCATTGCTATTTTTCCCATTTTAGAAATGAAGAAGCAGGTGCGATATGGTTAAATAACTTGCCTGAGGATTTGAAATCAGGTATTCTTACTCTGGGGTTCATGTTCTTAACCACAAAGCTATGGTATATTTTAATCATGTTGTACTTAGCCTTATATGCTTGCATGCCTCCCTCATTATATTTAGGGTCACTGCTTTGCACAACTTCAGCACGTGCCGTTTGCCAAAAACTCAGTGTGAGTGGGATCTGCAGTCTGCAGCTAAGATTATATTGTGTGGTCCTTGGAGGCAGGGACTGTCCCTTTTTCCCAGCGTGTTATAGTTCCTTGAACATCATAGGAATTAATTGTTTATGTGTGATGAATAAGTGGGATATTTGCAAGAGGGGTAGGGGAAACAGATTCTGGGAGGGCATTCCAGGGCCTCACCCACTGCATTGCTCAGAGTTGGTGCTCATTGCTTTTGTTGAATGAATATAGGTATATACACTGACTCTGCAGAAACCTGAAGGAAGTGCCTTTAAGCAAAGATGTGGAATGGTCAGCAAAGAAAAAGGGCAAGGTAGCTTCCAAAAGTAAATCCCATGAATAGCAGCTGTTCCTGAATTTTTAAGACAGTTGTTCTCTCTATCCCATTTTTGTCTTTTCTACCACAGTGAAGAACACATAGAATGCAAAATTGGCTCCAGTAGTGATGATAGTAGGCACCCAGTAGGTATTCAATAAATATTTCTTGATTGGATTAGAATAGAAAAGATAATTCTTGTGTCTCAGGTCATTATTGGATATTACGAAGCAGTTATAAATAGGAAATGGTTTTTGAGAAAAGAAAAATGAAAAGCTGAAACACAGTTCAGTTTTTGAGAAAAAATTCTGCCTTTTGCAAGATAGTACTAGGGTTGTTGTTCCCCAGTTTTATTTTTGTAGTGAGTGGCAAGTAACTTTAATCACTTGCTCTGATGTGGCATACTTAACCTGCTTGTGTGTGGGGCTGCCCATGGATAAAAAAATGACTTGTGAATTGCATCGTTGATTTGTAATTTGGCAGCTGTTACAGATTATAGTGGCTAATATGTGTTTCCTTCTTTCCTAAGTAAAGAAATAATAATTTCTTATGATTAAGGGATGTCATAAGTAAGGGAACCACTTAGAAACTATCAGAGAACAAGACAAAAAGCTAACTAATAGAATCTTATGGGAAAGGAATATAAATACCCCATCCTCAAAGTTTGCTTAACTGTCTTAAGTAAATTAAGTTCTCTGATGTTTTGACAAAACCAAATGTCAAAACCAAAGTTATGTCTTTCTCCTCTTCCCCAGCAAAAATAGCAACTATTAGTTAGTGATTATATTAAGGATGAAGGTATTGAACTAGTTTATGCTAATTTATACATAATCTTTGCACTAAGCTGTGTGAAGTTGGTATTATCTTATTTTATTGAAAGGAAAATGAAACTTATGTTAAATATTTTGTCCGGGTTACACAGAGCTGGAACCAGGTCGCCTTTACTTCTTTCTGCTCTATTCCACTTGGAGGCTGAACAGCCCAATTTCTTGAGGAAATTTATTTCCATATTTATAATTGGCTTTACTTGTAATATGATATAATCTTTTTAAAAATGGCTAAAAATATTGAAGTCTTTAAAATTTGTTTTAAAAGTAATGCTTAGTCAAATACAGTTAAGCGGAAAGAAGGAACTACAAATTACCTATAATTCTGCTATCTAGTGTTGTCTACTATTAACATTTTGATGTACATTCTTGGAAACTTTTCTATCTGTATATGTGTATGTGTGTTTGTATGTGTGTAATATATTTTTATATATATCTAATGGAAAAGTACTGTATGTTCTATTTGATACCTTTTCCTGGATAACATTTGAGAATTACTATATTGTGACATCTTTCCATGTCACATATAGTAATTACATAATATTTCATTGAGTGCACATAGCAAAATTAATTAATCTCTTTATGCTGGGTGTATTTTTCTCTTTTTAAAAAAATTAGACTGTATTAATTTTCTTGGTATCTGTGTATATCTGTAATTATTTCCTGGGGATAAATTTATAGAAGTGGAAATGCTAGGTCAAATGCTATGGACATTAAGGTTTTGGATAATTGTTATTACATTATTTTCAAGAAGGTTTACCAATTTTCATTTTTAAACATATTTTTAATAATTATACTACTTTGGTATATATGAAGGGTCTTTTAAAAAGTTCATGGAAAGATTCATATTATTATTATTATTATTATTATTATTATTATTATTATTATTATTTAATTTTTTTTTTTGTCTTTTGTCTTTTTTCCATGTCCGGCAACGGATCGCAACCCTCAGTGTTGCCCCCGTACCGGACCGGGGACCGGCAACGGGATCGCAAGCCTCGGTGTTGCTCCTGCGCCTCGCTCAGCCAGTGAGCGGGAGCCGGTCTGTATGTGGGATCCGAACCCTCAGACGGGAGCGCCGCCGCGCTTCCCAAGCGGCGCACTATCCAGTGCGCCACCGGGCCGGCCCCCATATTATTTTTTAATTCCATTTTTCCATGAACCTTTTGAGGTACCCTCATATTTCAAGATCAGAGATTTTAAGGAGGTCACTGATATGAATATGGTGACCTATTAAGACTATTTATTTATTAAAATAAGACTTTTTTCCCTGAGTTATCAAACTTTGTAGTATGTTATAGACCAGTTGTTCTTAACTAGGATCAGTCTGTGGAGTTTTAAAAATTATTTTTGCTTGGGTCCCATCCCAGATATCAGAATCTTAGGGGATGGGGTGAGACATCCCTATTGTTTTAAAAGACTTTGCTTAAACTTACTTGAGCTGAATCACCATTTCCCTGGTGTAGCTTTGTTTTCGATGCAGTAAGAAGGTTGGAAGAAAATATCGCAACTAATTTAAGGGCCTTATTTGAGGCACAAAACCATCTCTGTAATAGAAGGAAGGATTCAGTATTGTATATAGAAGTTGTCTAGTCCGTAGTACCTGTGGTGTTTTATAGTCCTACACAACAGTGTTGTTATGGTAAAATTGTCTTGATTTTGCACATATTTTGCAGGTCTGCAAAAGATGATTTTACATCTATTATTGGGAAATGTCAAGGTAAGAGTTTCCAAACTATTTAAAAATGAAAATTTCAAATCTGCAGTGGTTTATATTGTTTCTTAAGTTAACATAGATATTAAATATTTATTAACAAGGATTATCATGACTATTTATTAAAATAATTTTTAAAAATCTTAACTGATTTTTCTTGCTGCCTTAAATATTTTGCTCTATGATGTGCATTTTGTAGGGATTTGAAATTGAAACTATGTTTTAAAAGGTCTAAGCCAGTTTTGGAATAAACTATTTGTAAGTGTCTGTAGTCTGTTATTTTGGATTCAGTGCAGAAAAATATTTAGCTATAAGTCAAGAGTTGATCAGATACAGACTAGTAAAAAAGTCTAGGATTTCATCATTTTTTGATATATCCAGCAAGAATTTGCTGAGTGCAGTTTATGATATAAACTGTTTTGCTGGGTACTTAGGGTGTGATTATGAGCAAAAAGGCATGGTCCTTTACTGCATGAGGCACGTAGACACTCAAATATGTTATTACAAACTTTGACAAATCTGATGAAGGAACACAAAGCATAGTGAGAATTTTTAACCAAAAAACTGGGCTGTGGGATGAGATTGCTGAGAAAAAGTGACTTTTGGGAAGCAACCTTAGGAATGAGTAGAAGTTAGGAGAAGACCAGAGAGTGTTTCAGTCTGCAGAAAAGGCAGAAGGAACCTTGCAGGAGAAAGATAATTAAGAAGGTGATATTAGGCAAATGCATCTATTACCTGTGTTTTATTTACAGGACCTGTGGTTCTATCTGTCTGACCTTGTGTTAGTTTAACAGTGTAGTAGTTGTAGAAATCATAATGATGATAATCATGGTCATTGTGATGATAACAAACCTTTATAATGTTTTTGCTGTGTGCCAGGCACTGTATTTAGGGCTTTAGATTCATTTTCTCATTCAATTGGAAGAAAACAATATTAGGATAAAATAAATATTTGACAATGAAGGAGAGCAAGGAAGAAGGGCATCCATAGTTTTTAGAAACTACAAAATGGTGGTAATACAGAGGATTTTTCCAACTCCCTCATGGAAATACTGGTCTCAGGCTCTCGTCAAATGCACCATTAATGACCTGGAGCCAGTTTTCTTCTCAGTTTCCTCATTCTCAGCCATCCAGATATGTTCAGAAGATTAAAGATCAAATGTTTAAAAAATTTTTTGAGTTCCCATATGAATGGTGCTGGTAATTCTATTAATACCATACTAATTAATTAGTATGTCAAGAATCATTCTTACACAATTTCCCATGTACTATTGGATAAGGCAGTAATAGAGTTCTCATGGAGTTATCTTTACACAGAGCATATATTGTAACTTAATGTAAAACTTCCTACATATTTGTACAAACTTACCTTCCCTTTTTATAATCTGTTTCTTCTGCTCTATTCCCTGGATGGTCCATGCTGCCATTATCTATATCTCACCCAAGCTAGAAATCTAGAAATTTTCTCCTTTTCCTTCCTTCCTTCCCTTCTTTCTTTGACAAATATTTAAGTAGCTACTATGTAGCTAGGCAATGTCCTAGGCACTGTATATACAGTGGGGAACAAGACATAGGCTACTGAGATTTAAGAGTTTACAGTCTGTAAGGGAAGAGAGAGATAACAAATAATTAATTGTAATTGTACTAAGTGCCACAATGGAGACGAATCAACGTTAACTTTACCAAGTCCCGGGAGTCTTTTCAAATGGCTCTTGTCACCCACTTCTGCACTGCAACCATCACAACTCTAGTTAAGGCTCCTAACATTTTTTACTTGGTTTTTTGAAATAGTCTGCTGACACAGTTTTCTTGTCTATGCACTTCATTAATCCACACATTACATTCCTTGCCAAATTGATCATCTGTTAGAATTCTTTGAGGTTGCCCTTCACATCTTGCTCCACTGCTTTCTAGATATGTGACCTCAGGCAAGTTATTTTACCTCTTTGGACTTCAGTTTTATTATCTGTAATGTGGGCATAATTTTGTAGATTGAATTGTTGGACAATAGCTAATATATAGAAAGCTATTAGCATAATGTATGGCACATCATAAGTACTTATGACTTATTATAAGGAAATATTATTATTACTGCTGCTACTATTATTATTACTATGTTTCTGCCTAAAATCTTATAGTCACTTGCTACTGGCTGTGGATTACAGTTCATATTTTCTGATTCAGGATACAAGACCTTTCATGATCAGCTTGTCTATCCTGAGAGTCCCTTGCTGTATGTCCTATGTTCTGGTACAAAGCAGTGTTCAGTTTTCTAACTCCATCATGCTTTTCATGCCTTGCTGCACATAAAAGCTCCCATGTTTATATTTAATTAATTAGTCCTGCATATTTTAGTTCAAGCATCAGCTCTTGGGAAACCTTTCCTTCCTGCCCTCTTCTCCATTATTTGTACACCTTGTTTCCCTGGTCCTTGTTTGTGTCTGTAGCACAACACTTACCCTAGTCTACGTTCCTTTTTTAATTGTTGATTTGCTTGTCTGGTTCCCAATGAGAGTGTAAATTCTTTGAAGGCAGGGCTCCTGTCTTACTCAACTTTTAAAAACTTCTTAGTGTCTAGTACGGTGCCTGACACATGGTAGGCAGAATTTTTTATCCTATCAAGTGGGTAATGGCACTTGGGAACTATTCAGATGATTTTTATGAATGAATGTATAAACAAAGCATATTTTCCTATTTCCTGTTAATTTTAAGAAACTTATGAGAGTACCGTCATCTGCCACATAAAACATTTTGGTCAACTGTGGACCACATGTATGATGGTGGTTCCATAGATTATAATACTGTATTTTTACTGTGCCTTTTCTATGTTTAGATATGTTTAGATACACAAATACTTATTGTTGTGTTACAATTGCCTGCAGTTTTTAATGCAGTAACAGGCTGTACCGGTTTGTAGCCTAGAAGCCATATTTAGGCTGTATGATATAGCCTAGGTATGTGGACTATACCATCTAGGTTTGTGTAAGTACATTCTGTGATATTTGCAAAATGACGAAATTGCCTGATGCATATCTCAGAATGTGTCTCTATTGTTAAGTGATTGCATGATTGTATACATGTGTTTATTATGTATAAGATATACATATCCATATATCTATATATAAATTTTGCATAATTGTCATGGTATTCATCTTGTTTATTTCTAATCTACACACATTTATACATACTGTGAATGGAACAACAAGGGTTGATAAGAAACCCTGTTTTTGTGCTATCCTTTTGAGAATAATAGAAGCGGGGAGGTAGTGTTTAAATGTGAATATCTAAAGCTTGGGGCTCTAGCATTCTCTGAAGTTGCCTCCTGTATTAGTCCATTTCTGTTGCTTGTAACAGAAATACCTTACCTGGGTGATTTGTAAAGAAACAATATTTATTGCTTACAGTTTTGGAGGCTGGGAACACATCTGGTGAGAGCCTCGTTGGTGGGTAGTGACTCTTCACAGCAAAGCAAAGCAGGGTATCATGTGGGGAGAATGGTGGAGCAGAAAGAGTGCTAACCTCCCCACTGGCTCTCTTTTTCAGTCCCTCAGTACCACGCCCATGACCAGCATTAAACCATCAATGGATTAATCCACTTACCAGGGCATGGTCCTCATAATCTAATCACCGCAAGGCCCTTACCTTATAATTTTTATAATAGGATTATAAAAATAGTTACAGTGGGGATTAATTTACAATGGGGATTAAGCTTCAATGAATTGGGGAGTACATTCAGTCCATAGCACCTCCTCTAGTTTCCTTACCAGCTCCTAATAGGAGCTAATAAGGTATAAGATATAAGGATCAAGAAGTCCCCAGAGGAATAATTTGGGATATTCCTTTGCCTTTTTCTCAGTGCTGCCCTCTTTTTGGTTTAGGGATTGGGAAGCCTGAGGTAGACTTCTGAGGAGCATGCTCAGTGTTGGAGTGATTCCGATATACAGGGTCCTTTTGAGCTTTGGCATTAGACACCTGCTCTTAGCCAATAAGTAAATTGGGAAATCTACAAGTTAACATGAAAATGGGAAGCTTAATCCTTCTGTATTTCATATAAATTATAATATTTGTCAGAGTTTTTAGTGTGTACTGTTAATGTGGCAGCAAGGGTGAGATGATAATGCTTTGAGAACTAATGTTTTATTTTGTTGGCTTCTGAATGTGTATTTATGACCTTAATGCTGCATTAATGGCTTCTTTCCATTTCATGTAATGTGAGGTAATAATCATTTGCTTCTTATCTGATTCATCTTTATGGGAATAACTTCCATATGCCAAATGATATTTTATATGTGCCTGATGAAAAGGAGCCAGATTGTTGTTGATGCATTTCTGAAACTACGTATTGAAGAATCTGCAAACTGAAATAGGAGCTATTTGGTTCTCCTTTGATATTTTCCAATTATTATTTTATAAAAGATACTCTATTTGAGAGTGTTTTAAATGTGGATTGCAACTTGTTTTGGCTGTGTTTGCCAAGACATAGATCATAAATTCAGTCTTCTCATTCTATCTTGAATAGTGACTTAAAAATAGCACATGGAATGAGATTTTCTTTTTTTTAGAGCTATACTATGTTAAGAGATTTTTCTCATATTTCTAATTTTGAGATACCATAAATCAGAGTTTCCTTATGGTAAGTAGCAGCTTGCCTAGTGTAGGTACATATGCTGAGACCCATCAGCTCTGGTGACTGTGCAGGCACTTTGACAGACTGAGTTCTGACTAGTTGCCTCCAGTTTCTAGCAGTCTCAACAGTTTACCCTTTGGTGCCATACATACATGATTTTCCACTTGACATAAAAAAGATTGAGAAGCAGACTATTTGTAACATCTAGATTTTAAAATGAAACATTTTATTCCAGAATTGTGATTCAGGAACCTCAGATTATTATTATTATTATTATTATTTTTTTCCTTTTTTTGTCTTTTTTCATGACCGGCAACGGGATCACAACCCTCAGCGTCGCGCCCGCACCGCGCTCAACCAGTGAGCTGACCGGTCTCTA